TGTAAGATGCAGCACATTTCCCTCTCTTCCTCTTCCTCTTCAGTATTCAGTGGTGCTACAACATTTTCTGTATTTTAAATGGCACAGGCTGTAAAAATATTATATAATCTGATAGAACCATTCATATTTGTTAGGATGTGGGATGGCTCTCAGGCCAGAGAGAAACATTGGGAATGGGGAAAAGGCAATAATCATACTACTAAATATCAGAACATGCTAACATTTTGAGTTTTCTTTTTCTTTTTGGGGTGGGGGGTCGAGTTTGGGCCATCTACCACTTAACACCAAAATATATTCGTTTTTAATTTTATCATTCTCATACCTCTTTATACAAAAAATACTACTGCCACGTGATACTGCTTCTGGAGGCAAGGCCCTTTGATCAGAACTTTTCTTTAAGTGAAGGCATGAACTGAAAGCTAAACTGGGGCACTTTGCAAGTTGATCCAACTAGATGGGAGTGGTGCTCTCACATCATCAAAGTTCAGGACCAGGGAGGAAATGCATGTACACTGTAGCATTATGCATTGTGACCCAGTTCGAGCCCTTTATTCAGTTAAGTCATTCTGATGTGGTTTGAAAGAGATTATGTTTATGATTTTTCTATTTTATGATGTCTGAAGTTATTTTTCTTTGGTTATACAACACATGAGAAACTACATGTGTCCTTTGTAAACAAGCTGTAAATAAACATCTGATGGTTTTCAAAAACAGTAGAAAAGTTCTATTATTTTGTCTTGTCCTTGAAAGATTTTGTTGTTTTATATTATACTTTGCAATCATAGTTATGAATGCAAACTTTCTGATGGGAGGAGAATGTAACCCTACAGCTATGATTGGTTTTACTTCTGATTTCTTCTTCTAAAGGGCTTGAATTAAAGCTTCTGTAATCTGTTATAGTTTTGTCAACATATTTGGCTAAATGCCAACATATTGTTCTTACATTTTATTTGCAGATAAAGCTGTATAGCTGTCATCTGGGACATGTTATTCTTGGAAGGGTACCTAGGTTTGTGCTATATAAAATATGTTGTTGCATTACTACTTTTTCACTTGTGCCTGTACCAAGCTCAAGACAATAGGATTTGGGACAAAATAAAACAGGAAACTTTTTTACTTCCTCAACTCCCCTCTAAAAACATGTTGTTTATGTATTGAACAATGAGAATGTGGTTATACTGTGTAAAGCTTTAAAACACACAACTGAAATATCCAATTTACTTTACAATACTACAAATGAAGTAGGTGTAATTATTACTATTCCCTTTTAATAGATAATTCCTAATTTTATTACATGCCTTTACCTAGACTTGACCCTTCATGAGATCTCTTGTTTTAGTTATATTAGTTTGCTAAGACTTGAAGGTTGATTTTCAAAGAAGTAAAGAAACACTTCCATTTTTAAATTGTCTTGGAAGAAATTTTATAGTTGGAGTTAAGGAGGCACGAATAAATTAGCAATAATGTTTTATAATTTCCATCCATAATTTTTTATAAAATTGTAACTGAAGTTAACACTGTGCCATGGATTTTAAAGTTCTAGCCACCACCGCCCTCAGATTCTTCCAGCTCTATTTTTTGTGTGTCTCAAAAGAACTGTTTTCTACAGTGTCTTGCACAAATAACTTTATCTGCGAATTGTCCTTGCCTAACCAATTATTATTATTTTTTTTATTTTTTTGTTTCTCCTTTTGCTATGTGAACTTTTCATTAGAATGCTAAATTATCAAAAAAATCTTTGGTGTATAAATGGTAACTATCTTAACAATAATATTCTTCCAACTGTTAAAGTGTTACAATAAGAATACAGAGTGGTTTGCAATCTTCGGCGTACTCACTCTAAGGACAAAAATTGCACTTTTGAAGCACTGATGACAGCAGAAAGCTCAAATGTTTAAATATAACTTTTCTCAAAAGTAATGTTCAGGTTCACATCATAATTGCTCCCAGAGTACTATCCTGAGTAAAATGAGTATAGCTGCCTTCTAAGAGTGGTGTAGCGTCTGGAATTCATGCTGTTTGGTGCCCCTTTCCATCTTTAAAGTAGAGGAGTGCTCAACAATATTTTGATATTGAATTTGTATATCTATCTCCAGTACACTTACATAATTCTCAGTGTGTTTGGAAAATTACAATGTTTGTTTCCATATTTTTTTGCCATGCTTCATGCCTCTTTCCCTGCTCCCCCAGTTCAGGTCAATGTAACCCATCTCTCCCCTTTCCTAAAGTAGGCACTCCAGATTTTTTGGTGTGGTCACTCCTTCATCCATTCTTGGGTAATGAAGAGAAATGAACTCTTCATTACCCAAGAATATTGTGCAGTTTTGGTGCTGTAATTGACTTTCAAAATGAGTTTATCTTGTAAACTGATACTACATACTTATGTAATCCCCTTTAACGTCTGGGAAGCAAGTACCATATTTACATGACTTTCCATAGAGTCCCTGCTACGATGGAGCCCTATGATGCTGTATAAGGGGACTGTTAAAGAATAAATTAAGCTCCTTCAGCAATACTAGTGATATGTTACAAGCACGGAGAGCACTGCCAGTACTTTATTTTGACATTGTTATTTCAGTACTCCTGGGATTATTGGAGAGCTGCTGTATGTACTCTGAGTGCTGTGTGTGATTTTTGAGTCCCATCTTGCAATGGAAAATGTCTTCCTCTACTAACTATATGGTAGCTCAAAATATATTAATTTTACTATTAGATTTGCAAAGAATACTTCAAGAGAAATCTATTTTCAGCTGATTTTACAATTGCCGTTTATAGCTAATGTCTGAAAACATGAATCCAAGCAATGTGGATACGACTCAGTATTTTCTCCAACACTGATCAGTACTAACTTGTTTCAGTTACAGTACTTGTAAGTAAAACAACAATTAAAAATGTGACTCTAAATATAAAGGAAATCAAGTCAGATGTTTGTTTGGTTCTTGTTTCAAAAGGGAAAGCATGTTCAGTGAGAGGAAAATCTGTCTACATACTACTGTAGGCACATGTCTATTCTTGAGCACTGGGGAGTGGCAAAGTGGAATCCTGTCAACAGTATCTGTAGATTTTTACTTTCTTAATTTCCTTTGGGGAGATACCAAGTTTGGTTAGGCAGAGTTTCAAAATTTATTTTTCTAAATTGTTATAAACTTACTCCTTTCTCTGTGGAATGTTTTGGGTATCCAGGGTGAAGACTTGCAGAAAACACCTTGAGTAGCAGAAACCTAGGTTACACACTAGTAACTGGAATTCTACTATTATCATCTTCACATAGATCCAGATTTTGCCCTTCTTGTTATTCAGCTACCTATTTCTCCAAAGAGCTAACATTGGCACTGAGAGCTGTATGGTAGTAGCACATGGTTATAGGGCAGTTTAACGCTCCGCAACACAATTGCCTGAGCTCATATACATGACATTTTAAATTTCAACAGATTTGGGTTGTCTGAGTGGTGGCCACTACAAACTCCAGAAAGAGAGGGGATATGTGAAGGAGATGATGCAGTAGAAGAATTCATAGTATTGGAAAGTAACCAAATTGTAGCTGTGTCCAGCTATGTGAAATTCCCCATTTTTGCCTTGTGAACTTTCATGGTGGGGAAAAGGCTCCTAAAAATTTTCCCCACTGTGGAACTTCATCATTTTTTCTGTTAAAAAAAAATGGCAACATTTTATGCACAACTTTCCTGCCTCCTAATGATGGGGGAAGACCACACCCAAAGAGAAAAAAAAATCTGGGGATGACAGTAACCTGCCCTTCTACTTTAACCTTTTGGAGGCCTCTGATTCCTTATATGGTACTGGAGCGCCTCTACAAGATTCTGGTCTCAATGTTTTGATTGTCCGGAAGATAAAACTGCATTGCAAAAACAAAACACCTCCGTAAAGAAAAGTCCACCCAATACATTACTTGCTAACGCACATAAATACAAATGTAGTTTAACTCATGAGAGAATATCATCAAACTATTGGTAATGCGGTTCAGTATTTCAGACAAAGCACTGGCAGTCAGGAGGATCTTGTGTTCCAATTATTGAACGTCTGACTGTGTTCGACACTGACGTCTCACAACAGACGTGAGAAATATGGTGTGAAGCAGCATTTAAGGTTTCCTGGATAAATTAACAGATGAAGCTACCTTTTTATTAACCTTCTGCTTTGCTCTCCTATAAGAATTGCTTGCTGTTTCCATTATACTGTTTGGAAAAAGGTGGTCTTGTACTTAAGACACAGCCTGGCAATCTAAAGACCTGGGTCTTGCTCCTGCCTCTGTTAAAGACTACCTGTGTGATCTTGAGCAAGTGATTTAATATCTTGGTTCCTCCATTTCCTTATCCTTCAAATGAGAACCATTGTCCACTCCATTGGAGTAAAGTGAAGCTAAACTAATTCAGGCTTGTAAAATGCTCAGTAGCACTTTCTATATGAGTGGCTTAAACATGCAAATTATTACTAGTAATTATTATAAGGTATTTACAACTAGTCTTTGTTAGTACTTCTGGACTGACATATGGTATGCACGCTGTCCTCCTATAGCTAAATTTGCCTAAACAGTTCTGTCCCACAAAAAAGGTTTTCTGATTAGATTCTTTATTTTGTACAAAAAAACCTTTAAGAAATCACATAATTTTTAATTGCAGATATTATTTATGCAACTGATCCTCTATCTATCCTGCAGAATAATAGGTCTGCTGCTGATCAGCAATGCAGTCAAAAATGTATCTTTAAGATGCAATTGTTTTTTTTTTCCAGAAGGTAAAGGGTAATTTCACCTTTTTGTTTTTCTGTTTTTCTGTTCCTACACACTACACACCTATGATTTCTCTTAGGAAAAGAGAATTTATGAAAATTACCTTTTATTAGTTATATCAGAATAGTGTTCAAGCAGACTATCATTCAAGAGGGAAAATCAACCTGGATAGGATTCTTTGTTATATGCTTCCTTACTGTGACTTGAAACATTACATTTAATGGAATAAGGTTCACTGTCTTTATGTTAACAGAACTGTGCTAAAGAATAATGATTTGAGATCAAGACAAGAGTTAACTACCCACCTCACCAATCAGTGGCCTTCCCTGGGAGCTCTGGATGTCAATGCGGTTGCCTTGGATACTTTACTCTATAGAAAGCACAGTCAACAATGGGATGAGTAAGTTAAATATTTTTTGTTCACTCTTATTGGGACACACAGTACTCAGAATCATACTAATATTTCCCTTGTTTCCCTGACATGTCATCTGCTAATATACCCCCTAATACTAACAGTGTTCTTAGGGCCTGGCTACCTGCGTATGATGCAGAAAAATGAAGGGGTTAGGATGCAGTTTAAATATTTAGCAGTTTGGAACTAAGACACTATGTACAATTGTACCACATATACAGTTGTGGTACCGGATGAGGATCTGAGCATTGAATAAAAACATGAAGAGGGAATTCACAGAGCAATTTTAGAATTTCATGTCAGAACTGACATACAGCAGGTTGGTGTTGTTAATGAATATCTGTTTGGTTATGAACTAGCATATAATACTGCAAATTGATGTTTGATATAGTTTTTAAACAATCACTTAATTCAGCTTGCTTAACTTTGGATGACTGATATGACACAATAAAACAAGAATAATGAAGTATGAGCATTCAGATATTTTTTTTAATGTGGCATCTTCCAGAAGGTGCAAATTATTGCAATCAAATCAAGATGAAAAACATCAACATAAACTCCATTATCTGCTTACTCACAGCAGAAATCTTTAATACATCATTACAATTATGTTTATCTATGATAATTTACAGGACCTGTTGTCTTGAGTCAGCAAAGCACTTGATCGCATGTTTAATTTTAAGTATGTGTCTGTTCCATTGAGGTGAATGCTACGGAATGGGAAACAGGTGCCCACTGAAAGTTAAGCATATGCTTAAGTGCTTTGCTGAATTGGGGCCACAAATTGTATGACATTGCTGTATTCTTTCCTATTCTAGAATGAGCCACTTCATTGCAGGTTATCCCAAATTTTAGGGAGCAAATCCTTAAATGACAAGTTTCAGAGTGGTAGTGTTAGTTTGTATCAGCAAAAATGACGAGGAGTCCTTGTGGCACCTTAGAGACTAACAAATTTATTTGGGCATAAACTTTTGTGGGCTAAAACCCACTTCATCAGATGCATGGAGTGAACAATACAGTAAGTAGAATATATATTATAGCACATGAAAAGATGGGAGTTGACACCCACTTGGTAAGGCAACTCCCATCTTTTCATGTGCTATAATATATATTCTTACTGTATTTTTCACTTCACGCATCTGATGAAGTGGGTTTTAGCCAACGAAAGCTTATGATCAAATACATTTGTTAATCTCTAAGGTGCCACAAAGACTCCTAATCCTTAAATGAATACTTCAAAATTTGATCTGCATCACTTTATATATCAGGTGCAAAGTACATACAACTATTTCATTTAAAACAAATACTTCAATATATTTTCGAAAATGAAAATAGTGCCAGCAGACCAGTATTTGAGCAGCCCCACATAAATGAATCTTTTTGTATGTGTGAGTGGGGGGAAATGGGAGAATTAAGTTTTCAGTTCTAAGCTTTCAAGGGTAGTGGAGAAATTAGTATTCAAAATGATCAATTTGTTTTATTGATCTGAGGTTTTTATTAATTGCATCTTCATGTTGCTGTTTGATCTTCAATTGCAGTAGATTAGGGGTCATTCAATCAACTAAAAAATTTAACCACGAAGATAACAATATTGCTTTTAAATTTTAAATAGAAATCCAATTAGAATTTATGATATCATCAGTTCAGTCCTTGAGGGGGCCATTTAGGGATCTGGGGCAAAAATTGGGGATTGGTCCTGCTTTGAGCAGGGGGCTGGACTAGATGACCTCCTGAGGTCCCTTCCAACCCTGATATTCTATGATTCTATCATATATAACAAAACTGGTAAATAGGGAAAGCTTTGTTGCCAAGAGTAAATTCTAATAAGGTATAATGGTAATAGAATCTCATGATGGCTATGAATGCCATGTCGCATGAGATTTCTTTAGTTTTTGTGTTGTATTGAATTTGAGAAGTCATTTTAGAAAATGAGTAACAAAAATCCTTTTGCTGCTTTTCTCCTTTTCCTTTTTATATGATGTTGCTACACCTCATTGTCTCCATAAGTACAGTTGCTCTAGCTCTTTCTCCCTTTAACAAATTCTTTCCAAGAAAATTGGTTTAAAGACTTTATCATCATCCTGTGGGTGGATTATACATCTGCTTCACACTGCAATATTTTTCCTATTAGCTTCTTATTAAATATAATATAAACATAATGAAATATACATAAACTTCTTGCAATACATTTTAACCATTTACTATACTTTCAACATTTACTTACATATATATAATATGAATGGTTAAAATATAAATCAGTTTTTGTATTACACAATTTACAAACAAATGTTACTTATAAAAATCCAACTAGTTAAATAATAATTATTAAAATAAGATAAAGAATCGAAGCAAAATTCAGAGGGGGGGATAGAGAGAGAGAGGGAAGGAAGTGAGTATCCGAGAGTGCTGAAGGAATTGGCGGCTGTGATTGCAGAGCCATTGGCCATTATCTTTGAAAACTCGTGGCGAACGGGGGAAGTCCCGGATGACTGGAAAAAGGCTAATGTAGTGCCAATCTTTAAAAAAGGGAAGAAGGAGGATCCTGGAAACTACAGGCCAGTCAGCCTCACCTCAGTCCCTGGAAAAATCATGGAGCAGGTCCTCAAAGAATCAATCCTGAAGCACTTGCATGAGAGGAAAGTGATCAGGAACAGCCAGCATGAATTCACCAAGGGAAGGTCATGCCTGACTAATCTAATCGCCTTTTATGATGAGATTACTGGTTCTGTGGATGAAGGGAAAGCAGTGGATGTATTGTTTCTTGACTTTAGCAAAGCTTTTGACACGGTCTCCCACAGTATTCTTGTCAGCAAGTTAAGGAAGTATGGGCTGGATGAATGCACTATAAGGTGGGTAGAAAGCTGGCTAGATTGTTCGGCTCAACGGGTAGTGATCAATGGCTCCATGTCTAGTTGGCAGCCGGTGTCAAGTGGAGTGCCCCAAGGGTCGGTCCTGGGGCTGGTTTTGTTCAATATCTTCATAAATGATCTGGAGGATGGTGTGGATTGCACTCTCAGCAAATTTGCGGATGATACTAAACTGGGAGGAGTGGTAGATACGCTGGAGGGGAGGGATAGGATACAGAAGGACCTAGACAAATTGGAGGATTGGGCCAAAAGAAATCTGATGAGGTTCAATAAGGATAAGTGCAGGGTCCTGCACTTAGGATGGAAGAATCCAATGCACCGCTATAGACTAGGGACCGAATGGCTAGGCAGCAGTTCTGCGGAAAAGGACCTGGGGTGACAGTGGACGAGAAGCTGGATATGAGTCAGCAGTGTGCCCTTGTTGCCAAGAAGGCCAATGGCATTTTGGGATGTATAAGTAGGGGCATAGCGAGCAGATCGAGGGACGTGATCGTTCCCCTCTATTCGACATTGGTGAGGCCTCATCTGGAGTACTGTGTCCAGTTTTGGGCCCCACACTACAAGAAGGATGTGGATAAATTGGAGAGAGTCCAGCGAAGTGCAACAAAAATGATTAGAAAAGGAGTACTTGTGGCACCTTAGAGACTAACCAATTTATTTGAGCATGAGCTTTCGTGAGCCACAGCTCACTTCATCAGATGTGTACCGTGGAAACTGCAGCAGACTTTATATACACACAGAGAATATGAAACAATACCTCCTCCCACCCCACTGTCCTGCTGGTAATAGCTTATCTAAAGTGATCAACAGGTGGGCCATTGCTGGAAATGGCCCACCTGTTGATCACTTTAGATAAGCTATTACCAGCAGGACAGTGGGGTGGGAGGAGGTATTGTTTCATATTCTCTGTGTGTATATAAAGTCTGCTGCAGTTTCCACGGTACACATCTGATGAAGTGAGCTGTGGCTCACGAAAGCTCATGCTCAAATAAATTGGTTAGTCTCTAAGGTGCCACAAGTACTCCTTTTCTTTTTGCAAATACAGACTAACACGGCTGTTCCTCTGAAAAATGATTAGGGGTCTAGAACACATGACTTATGAGGAGAGGCTGAGGGAGCTGGGATTGTTTAGCCTGCAGAAGAGAAGAATGAGGGGGGATTTGATAGCTGCTTTCAACTACCTGAAAGGGGGTTCCAAAGAGGATGGCTCTAGACTGTTCTCAGTGGTAGCAGATGACAGAATGAGGAGTAATGGTCTCAAGTTGCAGTGGGGGAGGTTTAGATTGGATATTAGGAAAAACTTTTTCACTAAGAGGGTGGTGAAACACTGGAATGCGTTACCTAGGGAGGTGGTAGAATCTCCTTCCTTAGAGGTTTTTAAGGTCAGGCTTGACAAAGCCCTGGCTGGGATGATTTAACTGGGAATTGGTCCTGCTTCAAGCAGGGGGGTTGGACTAGATGACCTTCAGGGGTCCCTTCCAACCCTGATATTCTATGAGTAGAGGGAGAGTTGAGGGAGGCCCATGTATTTAATGGGATCATTCTGATACTTCCAGGAAAGCATCTCTTTTCTTGGGTATTTCTATTATGGTATACAATTCTTTCCATAGTGGCCAAGCTTACAATGTCTATGCTCCAGGCTTACTCCAGTCTTACAAGCTTACAATGTCTATGCTCCAGTGTCTGGTCACTTTTTGAATTTCCATTTCTGTAGTACTAGTCTTTTAGCAGTTGTTGTGGAATCTTCAGCATTGGAGATTTTTTTAAGAACAAGTTAGATGATAATCTTTTTTTTCTTCCTCCTCCTCCTATAAGTAATAGGAAGTAAATGAAAATAAAGTGAGGTACCTTGATTGTTTTTGTAGTTTGTTGTTTTTCCACAGAACACTTGAAAATTGCTGAGGGTCTCGGCTCACCACTTGTTATCTTTCCAAATATTTTTGTACTATTAGCAAATGATTGTAAAGCGCTTTATTAAAAAAAAAAAAAGGTAAAAAAACGTTGGGATGCAGGGTCTGGCCAGGAGTTAGGTTGCGGAAGGGGGCTCGGGGCTGGGGATGCAGGGTCTGGGAGGGAGTTAGAGTGCAGGAGCAGACTGGGGATTCAGGTGCAGGGTCTGGC